GTAGAAATACTTTGGACTTAAAGATTTACCCTAGACGGTGGTATTAGATGAAATTGGAAGTCCCTTAAAACATAGTTTTTAAGCCTGCAAAATTTATGTTCCTTCGAATATTGAGAGGTAATGCCCGTCTAAGTACAACAATCCTGGCTGAAAGCTTTCCATCACATACCGATTCAGATATAAACGAGAAACATTTCAAGAATAACTGTATTATGACATTTGCTAGAACTGGCGCCTGAAACATCTAAAGGAAAATTTCTGAAGCGTATTAGTGTCCCAGTCTTAAATATTTGTAACATCTACGTTGATAATACCTTCATCTTCGTTCATGGTACTAACATCTACGTAGGAAATACTTTCATCTGCTGATATGATACTTATGCCAAGATATTTCTGGTAGTTCTTACACGTAAAGCCTCTTGGTTAAATTCTGCAGTTAATACTTCTACGATGTTTGGGGTCAAAAATGACCCAAGGGCTCAATATTCATTAAAATAATTAATATGTACACACTTATTGCTTTTGTATTTAGTTATTGTAAGCAGACCCTCATATTTTGATATATATAATATGTGTACTATAGTCAGAGACGAGATGCAGCTCATCTTCAGCACCATCGCTGTTACACATTCTGTATGGTCTGTTTTAGGGGTGGGTATTGTAGAGAGTTTTCATATTGCGATATGTTGCGATTAGAAAGCATATATTGCGATACGTATTGCAATATATTGCAAGAAGTATTTTTGAAAAAACAACAACTTATAATCGAGTCAATGCTTGATTTATAAAGCATGAACACAACAAAATCAATATGCTTGATTAAGCTTTAATAAAACTAATTAATCATGACAAAATAAAATGTAAAAAATATTTTGCACAAATGAAACACGGAAGTATCCGAAGACCTCTGAGTGTCACGAAGTTTTCCGTTTGCAAGTCAAATACCGGTTTTCCATCAGCGTATTGCAATAAGTATCATGTCTGAACCGGTAAGTACTGCGCAGCCCTAGTCTGTTTATACTTTCACCATGTTTACATCTTACACTACAACTTAAAGACAAGTCATGCGATCTCACTCGGCAGACATTCCTATATTCTGTATCACTAACCAGGGGCGTAGGAACGGTTTTCAGAGCGGCGGGTGGGGTGTGTGTGTGTTTCCTAATTAATGAACATTATTAAAAATCACCATTCTATGCTTTGAAGATATGATACAAAGGTTCTCCAACTTAATATGCTTTGTTTGTCGAAATCAACAGGTCTCTGTTTGAACAATAAATTGTGATATATCACCAATATCCTGGCTAAACCACACAGTTCCCAAATCGCGCATATTACTAGATTTACAAGCAAAAATCTGCTGGTACAATGTGATATCCAATGGAACCACAAAATCCTTTTTATGCATAACTGCAGTCATTGTATGACACGAAAGATTGTTCATGTTTTTGACTGTTACCGGACATGTCCCTGATAAAAGTGTATGTTAATCAATATATATATATATATATATAATATTCAGTGTTGTCATTTCATCATCAAACCCAGGAAGTCGTCGCCTAAAGGAACTGTGTTTTTGAGCCGCTCAGCAAGGTGGGTTGCTGTTGCCTTCAACATATTCTATTGTCGTGGCCCTAAACAAAATGTGTTGTTGGTGCCCAAACAAAACGTGTTGTTACAGTGCCTTTAGCAAATTGTGTCCTCAGCCCCCTCAACGTAATTATGTGATGTCCGTCTTCCGCAAGGGTATATGGAAGTCTAGTTACCATCGTTGCCATTTCAAGCCTACTTTTCTGTGCTAAAGAAAAGTGGACTATCACCCATATCGACAGTCCAATCAGAGAATGTTCTTCAAAGTCAGTATGACTCCACACTTAAGCACCCGTCAAGGATCAGTCATTTATAGGTCGACGTCATATTGCTGGACAATACAGAATACCTTAAACAACCAACTGACTGACTGAGTTTGGTTTTACGCCGCTTTTAGCAATATTCCAGCAACATCACGGCGGGGGACACCAGAAATGGGCTTAACACATTGTACCCACTTAAACAACCAACAAAATAACTGACAATTTAGTAGCTTGGTCGCCTGTTATTTGTTTTCAACATTATTCATATTTTCCCTGGTCCTTTCTACTTGTACAAGATCTGCTTGAGTACATAATGCTCTGTCTTGGAACGAATATCCCGAAGGTAACGACTGTCGGGGGTGGGGTGTGTTTCATGCGAATAGAAACGGATTCCGAAATCGATCAGACCAAGTTATGAACTACATATGTTGTTTCCTGCGTTTCCTTCGACTATGAAATATTTCGTTATGTTCGGGGTGTTTTGTTGTTGTTTCTTTTGAATAAATACTTTAAATGAATGAAAACAAAATGCAAAAATCGGGAATTACAACCGACAAAAATTATATCAGTAAGGAATATCATTTCAGTAAACGAGGAATGTATCCTTCACTATCCATATAAATGAACTATATGCCACACATATTATATGCAGCTGGCAAGGAAACGTGTTCCATGACACGTGTCTATTAACAATCTGATATTTTAAAATGTATGCAATGTTTCGGGGTTTTCACATTAGCGTAAAGTTTCATTGGTCCGCTGAGATAGCACACGTGACAACTATTTTCATGATGTGCACAGTTCTTTAAAAAATACCATTTAGTCTATGTCAACGGTTCTTTAGTTGAGACAACAATGGGCAGTCAATCATTATATGATCGGTTCATGCACTCGGTACATAAGCACTTTACGACAGGATATGGTTGTATTCCGTCTGCGTAAGTAAACCTACGTACATAAACGCTAACTTTTGACAAATCAACTGTGCAAGTTAACAGTGACCAATCAATCAACGTATTATCGGTTAATCCCTTGAGTTTTCTTGTAATGCAACTGGCGTAAGGGAGACAACTCTTGTTAGTATACTGGCAACCTACTCGTCCGTCTTTGCACTCATGATACCATGACATGAAAATAGATGTAAGTTTTCTGTTTGTGCTTTTTTCGTGAAAAGATTCAAAAGTTATACAATGTGTTATTACCTAATTGGGTTGGGAGTGTGTTGGGGCTTCCTCTTAAATATGAAAGGATTATACAACCATATTAACTGAGGCGCAACATGCAAGAGTATTTTGAAAAGTATACCACGTATTCACCTATGAATTAAATGGATTAAGAACACGAACTCAGTTTGCATTGACATGCGTCTGACAAGGCTCATACATGAACATATACTGATTGAAACAACCAAACTCCACACGTGTCTAAGATTGCTCATATTCTATATTGATACTTTTTATTTTAAACGGTAAACATGCTTTATATTACCGTATGTACGAGTTCTGTACGTTTTATCGAGTATTCAGTAAGATTCTGGAAGTGGATAAAATAGAAGAGTATGGAGACCAAAATATTGCCAGCGATGACATCAAATGAAAGTCAATAACCCATTGATAAATGATTCCAGCAATATAATTCGCGGTTTTAACTCGATTTCGGAGACCGTTAGCCGTTAGACTGGGACGCTCTTAAATGTTTGGGTGTGTTGGTACAATTTCCAAAGTTTGCCAGTCGCAGACAGTGAAACATTCAATACATTTGCTGATGTTCCCAATGCATTAACTGACTTCCCCTAAAAGTGTCAAAATGACAACCTACGTACTAGACTAGACGCCTGTGACTCTACTGTTTTGTCTGTTTGTTTGTTATTTAGGTCCGCACTCAACGGTATTCCAGATATATAGCGGTGGTCTGTAAATAATCGAGTCTAGACCAGACAATCCAGTGATCAACATTATGAGCATCGATCTACGCAATTGGGATACGATGGCATGTGTCAACCAAGTCAGCGAGCCTGACCAACCGATCCCGTTAGTCGCCACTTTCGACAAGCATGGGTTACTGAAGAGGTTTACCTCTACATGTCCTCCTTATCCGTGCGACTGAGAAAACCAGAACGAAACATCGCGATTGGTCGCCGAGTAAGCGGTAACCAGGGCGTTTCCCCTATCTCCATGACCAATTACCAAACTCTGGAATCGAGTCCAAGCCCAACACCTAAATTTGCCTGATCCGTTGAATCACATGTGACAACAACATATCCCAGAGACGATACATCCGGGTTCGTCGCCAGCGTAAAAGACCCCCAACGCTGAGGACATGTCGAATGAACAAATGTTTGAGAAATCAAGGAGAAATGACCCACAATGGATCACACGTTAAGTTTTCATGGATGTTTTCGTGGTCTATCCTGGTTAGAGCACCCACACACTTCACCCAAACTGCGTCGCCTGTCATGGAGGTCAAGGCCGAAATAAGTAAAAATGGCTTGGTTTCTTAAAGGTTTACAGGGAGCAATTTTCTACAATTCCAACATGACAAGGCTTTTATCCAAGCAAAGTTTCTAGGGAGATGTATACATATTTGTGCATGAATTCATATGATCTATATGTTTAGTCTGTATATATTGGAGAGAGTGGCCATGTAGCCTACTGGATAAAGCGTTCGCTCAACATTCCCGACATCCAGGTTCGATGTTCAAGATGGGTGCAATGTGTGAAGTCCATTTCCGGCGTTCTCAGCCGTGATTTGCTGGAATATTGCTAAAATCTGCACTCCTTGTGTATTTCACATTTTAACCATTAATTTTCTATTTTCTGGAGAAAGCAAGAGATGTGAAATAACACGTTTTATACCTGGTGATCCCTTTGATGTGGTTAATCTTTGTTGTGTATAGATCTCAGATTGTTATGTTTCTGGGACTGTTAATTCAAGCAACCTTTGAATAAGTTTGTATTTTATTTTTTTTCAATGGTTGAACATATTCGCTCTTTCACCCGGCAGTTTATATGGTGCTGGTTTTTATGTATGTAAGCCAGCTAAAACTACTCCTTCCCGACTTTGGTGAGGATTGTAAAAGAAAGCAAGCCCTAATATGCATCAACGTCACTATGTGCCTTAAAGAAATAATTCAAAGACAGCACAGAAAATTGATGATTTATTTCAATAAAATATAGATATACATCTGAGTACAGTGGTGATAACATCTCGGTACTGTAATGTGGACGAGAATGGGTGTGGTGGGGCGTGGGACATCGCCTCAAGCGTGATACAATGATGCCCACTTGCACCTGGCACGAAATGAAAGTATCTTCACTGGACAACGCGTCACTAGGTTCGATCTACCTTCCATGTGTGATAAACCTTTTTGCCCACAATGGAACTTTATTTACACCTGGACGTCACAGATCTACGAAAGCATGAACAAATGTATACAACATATTTAATGCATGATCTACCTTCCATGTATGATAAACCTTTTTGCCCAAAATGGAACTTTATTTACATCCGGACTTCACAGATCTACGAAAGCATGAACGAATGTATACAACATATTTAATGCATAAAGGTAGAAGAGATCACACACCACCATCAAAGCCTACAATTATATGAAGAAACTGAAATATACATAGAGCTGAAAACACTACAGCATTACATTACCTGAGACAGATAGCTAACTGGGGTGTTGGACCTTTTGACTCAACTATATCTTGATTCAGATGCCTAACAGAGTAACTAGAATACACAAACTATGACAGGTCGTCTACAATTTTAGAGGCTAAAAGAATACCTTGCAGAACTACAGTAACTGTTATTAGTAGTTGAAGAACTACTCCGTCAATGTTGCAGTGGATTGTTCTGTGATTTCATATTAATTCCTTTCAAGGAAAGAAATACGCTTGAGCGCCAGCAGGAGTTGGATAGGTTCGCTTATCAGTGGGTATTCCTCATGACTCAAGATAGCAGATCTATCTGGACTTGGCTCATATGATATTCCATCGTTTCTTTCCCCAAAGACCAAATGAGAAGTTATGTCGGTCGCCCTTGTCAACAGATCATCCAAATGATATTTGTCAGCCAGATATATGTAATGAACAAGTACTTTACTGGAGATGGAACCATCTGAAGTCATCCTCGTGCACTGGTATAACAAAAAGCGTTCACATTTCTGCGTCAGTGCCGTCATCTTGTATTCGTCTGCCAGTTGCAACAACTTGTCAACCTTTGATGGGGTGATAGATTTCAGTTCAGATGGGTATATACGAAGAAGCATCTCAACGATTTCCGCATAGGTTTTGTTATTTAACGGAATCTCGTTCTTCTCCTTGAAATCCCCCTCAAACATTTTTTCAAACACGGACGAAGCAGCCACAAGGACACCTTTGTTGACGTGGAGTTGTCTCCCTTCGACCTCTAATGTTATGTCTGTTGTACTTGATGGATTATCGAACACCGACGTTGTGATTTCCGGTTCCGACTTGGGCTCCACCACAGGTATTGCAGCCTGCGGTCTGTAATGAAACACAACATAGGATTGTAAAGTTTAAATGCAAAAATGACGCTAATTCAGGCCAGTGCATTATCAAAGTCAATATTACATATGCAATTTCAACAGATAATAGGATAAGTGTGTTCAGTTTGGTGAGAATGTTGAATAATAACATATGCTGGAATGAGAGAATGTTGTCTATGTTCTTTTAGCAAATATAAGATTTGTAGCCGTTTTCGCCAAGTCGAAGTTCCGTTATGTCCAAATGGTGCCTTTTTCGCCAGGTGCCGTTTTGCTTTGGTACCGTTTTAGCCTGAACCCTTCGCCAAACATGTTGAGGTACAAAAAAAGTTAATTACAATCCCTGGCCCAGCCTGGTTCCCTGGGTCCGTTGCGCCTGCGCTAACGCTCCGACACTGACCAAGGCAACCACTGCCGAATGGCGGCCTTCACTGCAGGGAGACGCACCATACATTTACTATAGGAAAATCCGAGAACGGGGTTAGAATTTTTTCATAGCATTTTCATCGATACTATGGGAAAATATACGTCACCAGAACAACGGCCATCGTTACTTTCAGTGTACAAACACGTTATTTAAGCAGTTTCGAGATACGAAAATCGTCGTTACATTGGCGATTTGTAAACAATGACATAGACCCTATTTTCATCACCGACATGTGCTTTGACATTTCGTGTCAGTTCGTTATTGCGACGAAATCGTACATATAAAACATGGATCTGAACGACCCCATTGCTTGAATATAGTTAGCATCTTTATTTTAGCAAATGTGATGACGAAAATATCGCCGATTATGTCCCGTGTCTTCCATCGTTTCGGGGTACAGTCTGTAGGTTTGGCCGATATATTTTTCGATCGCCTTGTGAAATTACAAGGTAAAGTGTTTTTGATGGATGATGTTAATGACAGGGTTTGTCATTCTGATATTCAGCCTCTACAAAACAACATGAAACAGTTAACAAATATACCAATATCATTCAGAAATGTTTATGATTATAATAAACATGGTGAATGAAATGATCTATATACAAAAATACACACACATATACAGCTCAAAACAATAAATTTGTTACTTGATATTACAAAACTGAATATATAAAAATGCATGGTGTGATCAGTATGTTAAAACATTGGTATAACATATATGTGAAAAAGAACGTTTTAGACAGATAAACATTCCACTATTTGTGAACTGTTGAATTAAGGGTGATTTTTACCAATGAAACCTGTCATGAGAACTGTAGTTTTTATGGCTTGAAGCCTGTATGAGAGTATACATTTGCTGTACATTGATTATTTTGAGCATGATAACCCTGGGGTTATTAGAAAGATCTGATACAAATCATCTGATGTCAGCAATTTTTCAGCCAGATATCATTTACCTAGTTTGGTTAAATGCTGCTATGGACTCTTTTCTTTACTTTATTATACTTTACAGCAGTGCATACATACATAATTCAACACACCATCAGTGATTTTGCTTTTGAATTTTGGGTAATTTGCTCTGTACCAGTCCAAAATTGTGATAAAATCAAAAGTTTATGGTGTGTATTTTGAAATCTTTATATAGATATTGGGTATTGTAAACTTATTTGGACCAAAGCACTGACTACTCTTGGTGCACAGAGTAAAAAGGCTGTTATGGCATTGTACAGATGTCAAAAGAAAGTTGAAAATAAACCATGTCAAGATTAATTATGATATTTAATGTTATGATTGCTCCTATAGTGTGTAATGGTGCAGAAGTATAGGGGACCTCATATTGTAAAAATATTGAAGACGTACAGCATAAAATGTGTAAACGGTTTCTCAAAACAGCAAACAATGCTCTGGTTTGGGGAGAATGTTGCAGAACCCCTCTCCAACTTGTGCACATCACAAGCCATATAAGGTATTGGTGCAGGCTACTGTGTTTGGGTGAACGGAAACTGCCTTGCGAATGCCGTACCACATGGGCTCCTCATATTAAACATATTCTGTTTAGACTCATTCATATTTAGAATATTCTGATTTGAATATGTGCGGTTAGCACAAGATGTGAAGATCATTTGACAACCTACAACAATCAGGGTGTAGTTCTATCAACAGTTTATCTGATTCCTTCTATTAACAGCATTTTAAATCACTGTTCAATGTGGAAAAGAATTTTACACTCCCTATCCCTGTACACCTAAGACTATCCATGGCTCTTTTCAGATGTAGTAGGTTTAAACTTCCAGTCGGTTTTGGAAGATATATATTAAGGGGAAGATCTTTTGTTGACGATGAGTTTCATATACATGTATTGCTTGTATGTGAGCATTACTCAGCCATAGGGGCGGTTGGGTAGCCCAGTGGTTAAAGCGTTCGCTCGTCACACCGAGGACCCGGGTTCGATTCCCAATATGGGCCCCGCGTGTCCCCCGCCGATTGCCTGGTCCAGACTGGAATAGAACCGAGTGCAGCCTTAAACAACAAACCAACCAGCATCATTTATCGAAATTCTTTCATCTGAAAACTTCGACAGACAGACAAGACAACTTTGATGTTGTATATAACTCATGTCTATATTTATATTAAACAGCTAAGGGAATTGTAATAGAATGGCTCCAATGGCATGCGTGTTTCATGCAATCAAAGATAGTCTGTATTACATTGTCTGTTTATTGTGATTGTAATACCAACAGGTTTCAAAACTGAAAGTACCCCATTCCCCACCCCTCTCCAACCCAAGATATAGCTACAGTGTTTTTATGTAACAGGAAATGGACACATTATGAAATATTAATAGCTGTTTTTTACTAAACATGTCTTTAACAAACATGAGCCCCATCTGGGAGTATTGTGTATCAGTGTGTTTTAGACAATGCACACTTTCCTTTTTATGAGTGTGCTCTTTCAAAACAAGCTAAACACACACAGTTATGAATATTTCATAATGTGTCCGTTTTCCTATTATATACAAAACTGTACCTATATATGGGGTGGGGAATGGAAATGTTATATATAATGGTCCGATGTGTAATCGACTTCCCAGTAGAATCACGCAGATGTTGCCATACTATGACTATTGTTAAAGTTTTTAAGATCAATGCCTATTGCATTACCGCGATCAGCCCAATGTTGTATTGAAGTGATATATGCCAAATAAATACAAATAATAAATAGGCCTATTCTTCTAGTATTATTTCATTTTTGAAAGCACATATATTGTTAAAAAAACATTGTTGAATGAATCATTTATGTGTTTCAAATGTATTAGAAATAATTATTATTAATTATATAATGTGGTAACAACCATTTTCTAGTTACTATTACTGGGCGTTCAGTATATTTCCATTACACAAAACAGGAGAAATGGGGGCCAAATCATCGAATTACAGTTGATCACATTTGCTAAAATAAAGATGCTAACTATATTCAAGCAATGGGGTCGTTCAGATTCATGTTTTATTTGTACGATTTCGTGGCAATAGCGAGCTGACACGAAATATCAAAGCACATGTCGGTGATGAAAATAGGGTGTGTGTCATTGTTTACAAATCGCCAAGGTAACGACGATTTTCGAATCTCGAAACTGCTGAAATAACGTGTTTGTACACTGAAAGTAACGATGGCCGTTGTTCTGGTGACGTATATTTTCCCATAGTATCGATGAAAATGCTATGAAAAAATTCCAACCACCCGTTCTCGGATTTTCCTATAGTAAATGTATGGCGCGTCTCCCTGCAGTGAAGGCCGCCATTCGGCAGTGGTTGCCTTGGTCAGTGTCGGAGCGCTAGCGCAGGCGCAACAGACCCAGGGAACCAGGCTGTCCCTGGCCTCGGTTCATGGCCTATATAACAGTGAAGTGATTTAGAACCAGTCCGCTTTGTACTCACGTGGCAGTTGTTCCTGAAGCGAAAGGGAATCCTGTACTGGATCTTCCAATTACAGGTTGTGAAACACCAAACATACCGCCCCTGTTGGCTTTTCTAGACATTGTAGATATTGAGATTAATAACCTGCCGAGTACTGAGCACTCTGATTTACTTCTGGTATGTCGTTGCTATATCACTCTCGGTGTAGTGAAAGTTCAAAGTTTAAAACATATAGTTCTCGAGGGAGAGGTGGACACGTAGCCCTACAGTGTGAGTCCAACAATGTATGTTTCACTTTCTTTTGCAACGTGTTTGGACTCACCAAGCCCTTTCTTGGAAATAGACGCGAGAAGTCTTTTCTTGGAAATGACCCGACACGACCGTAGTGATACCAGGCAGTAGAAACAGTGAACAGAAAATGCTGACGAACTCATTTCTTAAAAAAACACTATCATAAATAACCTAGCTTCTGCTATTTATGTGTAAGTCGCATTTGTTAACAATTACCTCCATCATATTCATCAAGTTTATTTCCTATTTGAAGGCCATCGGCCGGTGTACTTATTACTCTTTATATAATTTAGAAGAGTTTTGATTGGTTAATAGCCACTGCGTACGCGTCCTTCTAGTCTCTCGTACAGACCCTGAAGCATATATATCCAAGAAAGCCCACACAAGTCTAGAAAAGGTGGCAAGTCTAGATTTCCTCAGCTTCTGAAAATGAAGAAAGTCTCAGGGCTCCTTTTCATTATATATATTTTTTTTTACTATGAACTTTTTTCAGTAAAATATGTTCATTTCAGAGACTAGTTGTTAGTCTAGCGTCCTTCTTACCATGTTTCAACGGGTGGTGTGGGCGACTTTGACATTTGCGACCTTAGATATTTAATCCAACTCACTTTAATAATTCAACTATCATTATCATCAAAGGTTCAAACTGTTTTAAGAATATATGCTATAATGTATGAAGTAGAAATACTTTGGACTTAAAGATTTACCCTAGACGGTGGTATTAGATGAAATTGGAAGTCCCTTAAAACATAGTTTTTAAGCCTGCAAAATTTATATTCCTTCGAATATTGAGAGGTAATGCCCGTCTAAGTACAACAATCCTGGCTGAAGGCTTTCCATCACATACCGATTCAGATATAAACGAGAAACATTTCAAGAATAACTGTATTATGACATTTGCTAGAACTGGCGCCTGAAACATCTAAAGGAAAATTTCTGAAGCGTATTAGTGCCGCAGTCTTAAATATTTGTAACATCTACGTTGATAATACCTTCATCTTCGTTCATGATACTAACATCTACGTAGGAAATACTTTCATCTGCTTATATGATACTTATGCCAAGATATTTCTGGTAGTTCTTGCATGTAAAGCCTCTTGGTTCAATTCTGCAGTTTATATGTACACACTTTTTGCTTTTGTATTTAGTTATTGTAAGCAGACCCTCATAATTTGATGTGTACTATAGTCAGAGACAAGATGCAGTTCATCTTCAGCACCATCGTTGTTACCACTTCTGCATGGTCAGTTGTAGGGGTGGGTATTGTAGAGAGTTTTCATATTGCGATATATTGCGATTAGAAAGCATATATTGCGATACGTTATTGCAGTATCGTTTTCATGTCTGAATCGGTAAATACTGCGCAGCCCTAGTCTGTTTATACTTTCACCATGTTTACATCTTACACTACAACTTAAAGACAAGTCATGCGATCTCACTCGGCAGACATTCCTATATTCTGTATCACTAACCAGGGGCGTAGGAACGGTTTTCAGAGCGGCGGGTGGTGTGTGTGTGTGTGTGTGTGTGTGTGTGTGTGTGTGTGTGTGTGTGTGTGTGTGCGCGTGCGCGTGCGTGCGTGCGTGTGTGTGTGTGTGTGTGCGCGTGCGTGCGTGCGTGTGTGTGCGTGTGCGTGTGTGTGTGCGTGTGCGTGCGTGCGTACGTGCGCGCGGGTGGTGTGTGTGTGTGTGTTTCCTAATTAATGAATATTATTAAAAATCAAAATGAAATTGTAGTTATGGTAAGGTAGATATGGTTTCATCTTGAAACTGCTAACGTCAGTTTATAAAATTCACCATTCTATGCTTTGAAGATATGATACGAAGGTTCTTAAACTTACTATGCTTTGTTTGTCGAAATCAACAGGTCTCTGTTTGAACAATAAATTGTGATATATCACCAATATCCTTGGCTAAACCAAACAGAACCCAAATCGCGCATATTAACAAAGTTACAAGCAAAACTCTGCTGGTACAATGTGATATCCAATGGAACCACAAAATCCTTTTTAGGCATAACTGCAGTCATTGTATGACACGAAAGATTGTTCATGTTTTTGACTGTTACCGGACATGTCCTTCATAAAAGTGTATGTTAAACAATATATATATATATATATATATAATATTCAGTGTTGTCATTTCATCATCGAACCCAGGAAGTCGAACAGGAAAGGAACTGTGTTTTTGAGCCGCTCAGCAGGGTGGGTTGCTGTTGCCTTCAACAGATTCTATTGCCGTGGCCCTAAACAAAATGTGTTGTTGGTGCCCAAACAAAATGTGTTGTTGGTGCCCAAACAAAATGTGTTGTAATAGTGCCTTTAGCAAATTGTGTCCTCAGTCCCCTCAACGTCATTATGTGATGTCCGTCTTCCGCAAGGGTATATCAAAAGTCTAGTTACCATCGTTGCCATTTCAAGCCTACTTTTCTGTGCTAAAGAAAAGTGGACCATCACCCATATCGACAGTCCAATCAGAGAACGTTCTTCAAAGTCAATATGACTCCACACTTAAGCACCCGTCAAGGATCAGTCATTTATAGGTCGCCGTCATGTTGCTGGACAATACAGAATACCTTAAACAACCAACACAATAACTGACAATTTAGTAGCTTGGTCGCCTGTTATTTGTTTTCAACATTATTCATATTTTCCTTGTTCCTTTCTACTTGTAGAGGACCCCATCAGTGGTGTAGTGGTTAGAGCGTCCGCCCGGAGAGCGGAAGGTCGCGGGTTCCATCCCCGACCGCGTCATACCGAAGACCGATATGAGCGAAATATTCTCAAGCACGACGTTAAACCCAATTTCACCTCACCTCTACTTGCAGAAGATCTGTTTGTGAACATAATGCTCTGTCTTGGAACGAATATCCCGAAGGTAACGACTGTCGGGGGGTGGGGTGTGTTTCATGCGAATAGAAACGGAGTCCGAAATCGACAAAAATTATATCAGTAAGGGAATATCATTTCAGTAAACGAGGAATGTATCCTTCACTATCCACATAAATGAACTATATGCCACACATATTATGCAGCTGGCAAGGAAACGTGTTCCATGACACGTGTCTTTTAACAATCTGATATTTTAAAATGTATGCAATGTTTCGGGGTTTTCACATTAGCGTAAAGTTTCATTGGTCCGCCGAGATAGCACACGTGACAACTATTTTCATGATGTGCACGGTTCTTTAAAAAATACCATTTAGTCTATGTCAACGGTTCTTCAGTTGAAACAACAATGGGCAGTCAATCATTATATGATCGGTTCATGCACTTGGTACATAAGCACTTTACGACAGGATATGGTTGTATTCCGTCTGCGTAAGTAAACCTACGTACATAAACGCTAACTTTTGACAAATCAACTGTGCAAGTTAACAGTGACCAATCAATCAACGTATTATCGGTTAATCCCTTGAGTTTTCTTGGAATGCAACTGGCGTAAGGGAGACAACTCTTGTTAGTATACTGGCAACCTACTCGTCCGTCTTTGCACTCATGATACCATGACATGAAAATAGATGTAAGTTTTCTGTGTGTGCTTTTTTCGTGAAAAGATTCAAAAGTTATACAATGTGTTATTACCTAATTGGGTTGGGAGTGTGTTGGGGCTAGTAAAGTGTTTGTCAGGTAAACTTCATGCAATTAGGGACCGTTCATAATTTATTTTATGGCTAGGGGGTGATGATGAATTTAAGTGTGTGGTGAGTGTGTGTGTGTGTGTGTGTGTGTGTGTGTGTGTGTGTGTGTGTGTGTGTGTGTGTGTGTGTGTGTGTGTGTGTGTGTGTGTGTGTGTGTGTGTGTGCCTATTTTGTTCTAAATATGTAGGGGGGTCATCAATTTTGTACACATGTACTAGGGGTCATCAATTTTTGTAAAGACAATTTTTAAAAATCATGCTTATAAATTACGGGTGGGTGTCATTAATATTGTACATGACATGCAGGGTGGTGTTATTGTGTGTGCGTGTGTGCGTGCGTGTGCATGCGTACGTGCGTGCATGTGTGTCGTACGTTGTACATACATTTTAGGGGTCATTCACATTGTACATGCCTCTCAATAAAAATCATCATCGCTAGCCATACATTATGAACGGTCCCTTATTGCATCTTTTGGTTCATAAAATCTAATTAAATTTAGGATATTTGTTTGTACAAATTCTAGCTAAATCTATTTGTCAGTTGGATTAATTAAGATATAACACCACAATCATCTTACAAATTTACCTTTTACTCAGTGACTCTACAGATAGCTGTACCAGACCAGGTGGTATCTGGCCAGTGGAGCCAGGTTATAAACAGAACCAGTTTAAACCCAACACAGATGTAATACAAACACATTATAATGTAACACCATTCTGCATTTTACACATATTAGCATGTATTTCACCCTAATAAGCTGACCCAAAAGTTTCAAGCAAATTGAAAGAGCCTACAATTTATAATATACTGACCCACACTGGTTAAATTAGTAGTAATATTCAGTACATCATGAAATATAGAAAGTCTAGTCTGATGCCATGGTATCTGATATCCTGTTATGGGTGTAGGATCTATAACCCCAATTGTCCCGTGAAGGTCCAGGTTATAATATTGATCTTCAGTAACTCATGTTGTCGTAAGAGGCGACTAATGCGATCGTGTGGTCAGGCTCGCTGACTTGGTTGGCACGTGTCATCGGTTCCTAATTTTGCAAATCGATGCTCATGCTGTTGATCACTGGATTGTCTGGTCCAGACTCGATTATTTACAGACCGCCGCCATATAGCTGGAATATTTCTGAATGCGGCATACAACTCAACTCACTCATTCACTATAACCCCAATTCCTGGTGTCCCTGTCTGAATTTTGTTTAAAGGAGCCTAACCCAATTTCTACTCATAAATGTATTTTCATTAGTAAAGAAATTGGCTAAATGTCCATTTTGTTTGTGTTACTTTTAGTAGGAATATCTTCAACATATCTCAATATCTCGAGAAATTTTTGGTTTTTATTATGTTTCATACTACAAATTCAATTTCTTCCAGATATTTGTAAGAAATAAAGTTTGTTTTATCTCCATATGTGGTGTAATAAAGTGAATTAACATTTAAAGTCACAT